CCCTTTTAAAAGGGGGTGGGGGATGGGGATGACTTGGCAAATGGCGCCGGCAAATGCGTTCATTGAACTGCCAGAGCGATGCAATAAAATCAACAAAAAACACATTTAAAAGGAAAATAAATATGTGTAGGATAGCTGGCGACGAGGAAAAGTTACGAGGAGGGCGAAATGGGTGGGGTGGGGGAGGGTGGCGAAAGGGGGAGTGGGACGATCTAAGACAAACAGTGAGCGGATTTATGGGGTCGCTTTGGGTCGAGTCGCCGTCGTCAGTGGCAAGTAAAACGGAAGCGGAAAGACGCGAAACTGGCAACTGACACACAAATGCAGGCCAGAGGGGCTTGGACAGCAGGGGAACCGCAAAAGGAAGCTGTCGAAGGACTGGCAATCCTCCCCGCTACTTTTGCTGCACTGAAACAAAAACCTGGAGGAATGAGTTCGACTTCTACAAAAATAAAGTATTTCAAAACAAATGAAATTCAATCATTTGTATAGCAAATATAGTTTTTAAACCAGAGAGAGAGTCGAGTACCTCGACTTTTAGATACTCGTTACTTAGCTATATGATATGCATTCAGCAATACAACCATTATTTACTCATAACTTTTTTTAGTGAATGCTCCGATTTTAAAATTTTTTCTAAAACGCCACCTTCTACCTGTAACATACTTTTTTATGAATAAAATGAAAGTACTAGCCACTGAAGTAATTGGTTCTTTATAACACTTTTAAGTTAAATTGATATCTTGTTTAATTATTGTTTAATTAATTATATCACTATGGACGGCAGTCCATGTAGTGACGAAGCGCACCAGGAGAGTGTGCGAAGGCGACTACTATTATATAGCCGCAAAATTGAAAATCTGCTGTGATAGTCCGATCGTAATGAGTAATACACCAATCGAAAGGTATTGCAAAAACTTAAAGGATTGCATACCAAGACTTTAAGAAAATCAATTGGCTTGGGAGAGAGAGCGGTAAAAGTGAAAAAGTGAAAATTTCGAAATTTGGAGCTGTTGGGGCCGGTGGGGATAAATGCCCCATCGCAATGTTTTAGTTGTATTCCTTTTGAAAATACCCGTCGAATGAGGGGTCATTTGTCAAAATCCGACGCTCCGTTCAAAAGTTATAGCCAAAATAAGATTTCCTTCTTCTTCCCAAAATGAAAATTTAATTCTGTTTGTCAGTTTGTCAGTTTGTCCAAAACATGTTTCATAAGTTTTGAAAATTTAATATGACGTTCATCACATCGATATAAAAAACTTTTGTTCTACCACTTTTGGAAAAACTCGCTAGTTTAGCGGGAAAACAGCTATAAATAGCTAAAATTCGGAATTCCGTAACTTCTATACTACTAAAGCTACAGACTTGTGCTGCATCTCGTTTGAAAGGTATTTTTAAATGCTATAAACTGCTATAGATGCGACTAAATAAGTACGCTACCTAAAATTTGTTCATTCGGCACGCTACTAAAATTTCGTGTAGATATTAAATATTTGCTAAAGCGGGCCGAACGAGTAAATTTTAGGTAGCGTACTTATTTAGTCGCATCTAAAATCATTTTTCGTCACAAAAGTTGATATCAGAACTTTTGTACGTTGAAGGTGCGATCGTCACTAGTTTTTTACCTCGTTAAGAGGTGTTTTTATTTGATTGGATTTTAAGTATAATTCGGGTATTACTTGGATATCTAAATATCTTAGTATCAAGATATCTGTTTTTTTAGAATACTAAAGCCCTGCAATTCTTTGCAGTGCACTTATCCTTACGCTTGTCTTACTTGTCCCTTTTTTCTGTTTGGCCTGGCAAACGGAAGCGAATTATGTTGCCTTATGCGACGAAAGGGTTCAAGACACAAGCTCCGTCCGCCGAGATATCAAGCTCCTGGGGTGCAGAGTGTCCTGGGGTGAAATTGATATGCGGACACAGACGGATGGGACGCAGAAAGCCACAGATACTGCAGTATCTCGTGGCTTGTTTAATGTGCAGAAAATTTCAGATTTTAATGATCCATTCGGGTATCGAATTTTTCGGTGCCCCTGCCCCTCCATTACTTACGCCTGAATGGGCGGGCAATCGCAAAGAAATCTGTAATTGCCGCGGCCCATTGCATAAGCTGTACAACGCGGCGGATAATTAATATTTGCCAGCTTGCCTCTGGAAATTCAATAGATAATCGTGGCTGCAAATTATTGTGAACGAGGCCAGAAATTGTGTAGTGGATTGATTTCCTAATCTGCATTCGCTTCCCGTCATAAAACAGATTCGGCGTTCGAGTATTTAATAAAACACAAATCAAAATAGGAGTGACTTCTTCCCTTGTCCACAACGATAAGATTTATTTGGAACTCTGATATAGAATAATGAAATTCCTTCTGCATTCGATCAGATACTTGCTATTCAACGATGATAAATCAAATTCCAGTGGCAAACAAATAGTGTATACTTTATATTTAGCGGATGAACACGGGAATTCCTTGAAAGAAATATCACTTATTTTTACGGCTAAACACGTCACTTTTAAATTCCACATTTGAGGAGCATCCATAAATTTGTTTTGTTTAAGGCCACCTAATCTACGAATCAAAGTTGTCACTCTCCCGGTTTCGAAGTGAAGTTAAAAGTGAGAGTGAACGATTTTCTTGTCAGCTGTCTGAAATTAAGTTCCAGACGAATATGAAAATCCCTTCGAGTCAGATAGTGAGGTAATCAACACTTAAAGACGCGGTCAAGGTCAAAATAATGCGAATTTCCAATGCATCTTATTATTGTTTTTAAGCTCAAGTATTTTATTCAACTTAAGTGAGCCCCCACTTTCCTTTTTTTCTTATTTCCCAGAAATGGGTGCGACTAGCCGCAGCTGAAACTGTGGCAAATGCCACGCCTCCTTGCAAAAAGGGCAATTTGTTGCGCTTCGTTGCGCGTGGAAATTATGATTTTTGCTTTTGTGAAAATCTCATTAGGCGCTGAAAAAGGATGCCGATTTTTGTGGCCATAAATATAGGTTGCCCGCCTGCGATTTGCAACTCAACTTTGAACGCCATCCTGGGGGCAAACGCGTTACGTGGCATTTTAATTAAGCGCAACGTTTTATGGACACTTCTTTAATGGCACCGCATAAATTCTAGAAGAGAAGTCGGCAGCTTGGATCGGCGGTTTTAGGACTGCGATTCAGATCCAGGGCATAAAACGCACGGCGGGCAGTCGGAAAGTGAATTTTATGCCAATCATTAAACAAAGTTGTGAAACCGAACAGCTTTGTATCGGGAGTTATGTCGTTGATAACTTTATCCCTAACTTTGTAGCGAAGCGGAGCGGATCGGATCGGCGGAGCTCCTGGCCTTATCGATTGCCTGATAAATGTTTGACACAGTGTGTGGTGAGCCGCACTCGAGGGTGTCATTCAACCCAACTGCAACTGTATCTGGTATTTGTATCTGTATCTGGTAAATAGGTTTTATGGCCCTCTAAAGCCATGCTCATTATAACTGGATGTTACTACAAACATGCTGCATTGGTTATTGCGATGAATCACTATTAAAGGTAATGTTATTAACATGTAATATTTGTTCCTCCCCTATAAGTAGCGAAATTTTATTTGTGTTTAAATAATATATAGAAGTAAATATGGAAATGTCGGAAAATTGTCTTTTGAAGAACTTTTGAAATTTTATTCATTCTTCCTGACGATATGTGACGTCAGATGACGTTAGATGATAAAAACTTAACTCAACTGCTATTGTATCTGGTAAATAGGTTATATAACTCCCGGAAACCCTGCGCATTGTAGCCGGATGTAAGTGCCAGCATGTGATATAGCAATTTCTAAATGAATCACTGCTAAATTAAATGTGCAAAAAAATATTATGAAATCAAACGGTTGTTTAAAATATAGTTGTCACTCTATTAAAGGAAATAATTGTTTGATAAACATTTAAGCTATTACTCACTCTCCTTGACGTCAATATGAGCTTAATGATGCCCTATTTAAATATGTTGAAAAAGATTATGAAAGGAAATGACTGCTTCAATATTGTCACTTGTGAATACTCTATATCCAATGTAAAGTTTATGAATCGCTCTAAATGAGTTCACTGAATTATTAATCAGTTAGTTATTAGATTATAGTTTTTTTGGAATTTTTCTAAAACTTTTTTGAAAGATCACTTAATTGTTTAAGCATTTTATTTTAGTATTCCTTGAAACAGGTTAGTAAATATTTCAAGATCGTTAACTGTTATTCGTTGAAATTCAGCTGGGTTTAAATATACATATGCTTGTTTTAGTGATTAATTAAATAGAAATGCCACATGCCCTTGGAGCTATTTTTAGGTACTAATTTGATTTATCCGTTAATATACGGTTTAATTTATAATGAGTGTGCAACCATAAACTGCTCGTGATCAACGCTGATTTGCCTCATTTGTAGTTAAAACGATTTCGGAGCTCATTTACTCGTTGATTTTTTGCATATCTCATGAGCAGCACGAAATCCGAATTGGAAACGGAATGATTTATTTGCATATGCAACACCGAAATGCACTCACAAAATGAGCTTTTAAGTGGCCGGCCCTCGACTTTTGACTTTTTTGTATTTCTTTTTTTGAGGACTGCGTTGACTTCACCCTTTGGATACAAAAAACCCAAAAAGTTGCCGGCAACTGTCACCAAGTGCTCCACATTTGTGTGTAAAGCTTATTAAGAAATGCTTATTCCCCCATCTCTCTCTTTTATCGAGTTTAATGGATTTTTAATGAGTCTGAAGCGGGGCTTTTGACGGCATTTTCGGAAAGTGCAGTTTCATTATCGCTTAATCCTGTTTGCCTTTCAGGAAGGAGGAAGATAAAGACACAGTAAGCGTCTGTTATTGGAAGGGATTGTAAAGACTACGGAGATCGGGTCGGTGATTATAAATAATAAATAAATTTCAGTTAAATCGGTTTAATTTGACTTTAATAAGATATTTATTTTCCAACTAATAATTTATAGGTTCTTAAAACGATTGTATATTTTCGTTTCAAAAATAAGGGAGATATTACAATTTATGCGTTTGATTCATCCTCACTTTCCGATGCTCCTCTGCTGGAATCAGATTCTACAGCCTCAACCACGGACAGTTCAGTATAGTAGGACTTCACAACGATCAAACAATATCCGAGACAACCTTAGAAATGAATAAATGGATTTAAGAGTGCTGGATATCCCAGTCCCATCTTACCAATTCTGATAAACGCCCAGGAATCCAACAACACGGTGACGAGAGTGAATAAAAACACCATGTAGTTTATCAACAGCCATGTCCCGATAAGCAGAAGCTTTTTCTACTTTCAGATGGATCCTTAAGACTGATTCTGTTATGAATTTGAAATTTACTCACGTAAAGCACGGCATAGACCAAAAGGAAATTATTGATCATTAACAGCCAAAGGACAGTAGCAAATCCAGCCACACAGATTCGGGTGTCCATGGTCCTAAAGAACTCGACCACAAATTTCGGGAATTCGTTTTTAATAAGCATGTTCCACCCGTAGCAACCTATGATGAAGTCCAGCAGGCCGAAGGAAGCGCCCGCTATAATCACTCCATATTTCAGGGGCATACAACACAAGAATTTTCGCAAATGCATGGTTTCAAATCATCAAAACTGAAGGATAACTCCGGAGCTCTTGATTTAAGTACTGGATTTTATAAAATTTGTCCTAATTATCGTTGGAAAATAAAAATAAAACAAGTCAACAACCAAAAAACAGTTAAAAGTTCAGCCACACAGTTTCTGGTGTCCATGGTCCAAAAGAACTCGATTACAGATTTCGGATATTCGTTTGTAACAAGTAACCCACAGCAGCCAATTATAGCACTCGCTATAATCACTTCATATTTCAGGAGCATATAACACAAGGAATTTTGCAAATGCATGCTAGTTCTGATAAAGACTGATAGATAACGCCGGAGCTCTTGCTTTAAGGTATTTTATAGGGATCAAACGCTAAGATTTTTATTGGAAAATATAAAATATATATTGTTCCATACATCATATCTACTCTAAAGCAAACACAAATTGGACCCGTGGAGGTGGCAGTCCAAAAGTCCATTCGACATTGAATCACCTGCCTGTGGAGAAGTGTCCAGCTAACTGAAATTACAGTTAGTGGTAGCCCGTAATCCTACACACTCGTCTCTAGTATTTGGCCATCGGACAGTTCCGAGAAATCTAGTTCTGTAGACAGCAATTAGATAGACAAAAACAATGCCAAACAAATCAAGTCAAATACAATAAACGCCTTGGCATTTTATCAGCTCCGAATCAGACGTAACATCAGTCCGCGGGGCTCTCGAGTGTCGGGCCCTCAGATCCCCAAGTTTCGTTTCGGTTTACAACGCAAAAGCAAAAAGAAGCGAAAAAGGGTTTGCTGCCTTGCCTGAACATTCTTTGATCAATCAAGTGACGCGGAAGCGACGCAGATAGCCGATAACAGATAGCAGTTAACATTCCAGGCCCTCTCGCCTAGTCATGGCTGAAATATTTGGCCAAAGTCTGTCAGGGACTTGCATAACGAGGGTGCAGAGTCAAGACCCCGCGTTAAGGTCGTTCGCCTGGATCGGTGATAAGGGAATTCGGCACTGCAAAATGTGCGATCGAGTGGTGGATTCGAGTGCCAGTACTTCAGGCAAATTATCGGGGAGGTATTTTAATTGAGCTCTGTAATCACAGCCTAAAGGTTCAGCTCATCGAGACCGCACTGTATTAGCTAATTGTACGCGACTGTACTCCAGCAATAGTTACCAAATGTGACTGACCTAAGTCACGCTGATAACCAAAACTTTGGCAGACGGTTTTTCTTTTTTGGAACCAAGCCACTAAAATAGAACGACGCGACGGTCAACTGGATTAGGGTTAGGCCAAACCGATCGGTTTTTAATGCCCCTCCAGGGGAAGTAAACGAAAATAGCATCAGTTGCCATATGTAAAATGTGGTCAAGCCTGGGCATTACTTATTTCCGTTCCGTTCCCCAAATTAGGACTCTTTTATCTGGAGCAAAATATAGAAGCACAAGGTTAAAGTGCTCTTAAGTACAGTTGAGCCAGCCACGCGTCGCTTGTTATCGTTTTATCGATATCGCCAAAAATGTTGCTTCAGTTGTTAATCCAAAATACAACACAGTATTTGACAAGCGTACTAATTGATTTGATTCTCGTGCCGTTGCTGGTAGGTTGCGCCAACAAAATGCTACTGTTGCGAAACCTCAAACGATAATCGAAGTCATTATACCCTGTGTAAATGGTAAAGTATTTTTTGAAGAAAGGTTTTGATAAGATCATTTAACAATATTTATAGTATTTCTAAAGTAGGTAATTATTATTATGGTTCTAAACTAATAAACTCGTGTTGCTATAGACCAAGGTAAAATATTATAATTACTTTCCTTCTTGGTATAAATGATATGAATAATATACCTCTCCATAATTACTGTGGAATATTTTAGGTGCATGGTAAATATTTGAAATTCCATTGGCATAAATATTTACATTTCAGAACCCAATAAAGACCTCATTACCTCTTCTAAGCCCTTTCCGTCTTTTAATTTAGACCTTAAGCCTATCGGAAAGTAATGGAAATTCCCTATTGCTAAGTTGTGTTCTTGTACAATGGAATGTTAAATATTTTTGACCCACGGAAAGAAACTTGCTAAAAATTAGCCCTTGGAAACCCAGATTCTTGTATGGAAAAACCAAAAGACTATCTGATTCACTAGTTCCATAAACGATTTCCAGTCTTTTGTATCTGTTGATAGACAAATATAATGCTTCGCAATGTGGAATATTCCGAGAGCCTTTTGGGTTCTTTAGCCGACAGTTGCCTCACTGATAAGACAAAATGCGTTTTGCAATAACGGAACAGCTTTATAAGCCCCCATGAATAGACCTATTTTCTGTTTGTCTGCAGAAGACGGGCAGGGTTCGCGGTGGGTTCGCCTTGCATGTTACAGGAAATAAACAACAGGCGGTAATTATGCAGCTCAAATAGTCGTGTTTATAACAGTTCTCCAGCCCAGACGTAGCCAAAACATCCAAATCATGGTAACTTGTATCGCATGGATATGGCATGTGGCATATGGCATATGGCAGAAATCATCATCATAAACAGCTCGTCGGCTGTCTTTCTTTCCCTGGTTCTGTTGTCAGCACAATCGCAATCACAAAAAAGGCCGCCTGGCGCTCAACTGCCCTCAGAACGCTCCATAAAACTGGGGGCGGGGATACACTGAGCGGAAGTTTGGATTGCGATAAAGGGCAGTCAGAAAGGGAGAGTTCTCTGTGCATATAACCCAAAAATAAAGCTCTGGTTCCTGTGGGGCTTTTGTTGAAAGTTGGAAGACAGTCGAATAGGCGGAGTCAGGGGATCTACAAGTGGGTCACTTGCAGTTGACATAAGCTATTGCAATGACAGGTGGGAGTGCTTGGCCGGGGGAGTCCCATTTTATAAAGCTGTAATAGCAGGCGTTACCACTTTAAAACTCATTTATTGGTAGCCCAAAACTAATAAAAATTGATCACAAAAAAAAAAACAAATAAATCAAACTAGAGAAAAATTAATGTTATTTTAGTTTACCTTTTTTTTAAATTTTACATATATTTTTTTCATAAAGCCATTATCAGACCATTTCGACCCAAAGTTCTATATCCACGTTTATTGTGAATAATTACCCATATCCCCCTTATTGAACAGCAGCTATTGTATTTCCGTTTCGCGATAATTCCGCCCCATAAAAACTGTCCCCAAAAAACAAAGCTTCTGAAACGCTACAGCAGCAAACAAAAACCACCTGAAAAGCAATCGATTATCACTTTTGATGGGCTGCCAAAAAGGCGCTTATCTAAGTGCGCAAATAGCTGGGGCTAAGCACCAAGCCCAAGCCGTGGAATTTCGCTCAGTGCACTGTCAGTCATTCAATGCCGCCTTTATCGACACCGTGAGGGCGCCAAAGGCAGAGAAATGCGTGTCAGATAGGACAGTCCAAAAGGAGCTCCGTATCTGCCATTATAACAAATAACAATAATATGAAAAAATAATTGTGTCTTTCTGTTTGCTCTAGATGTGCTCCACGAACTCCGGAGGGTCTGTGCTTAGCCTTCCCCATTTAGATACAGATACGGATACCCATACCCACTGGCACTGCGACGATTGGGCTGTCAGTATCTTTATATTAATCAATAAGAGCAGGTCCGATAAGATTGCGGAGCTTCGTCTGCTGCTGCTGCTATCAGGTGGGCCAAAGTGGGTGGTGGGTGGTGGGAGTCAGGTGGACGGCGGTACTTTGGCGGCAAGTGGGTGGGTGGCTATCCTCCAAACACAGCATTTTCGACACTTAACCTGGGGCAAAAATAGTTAGTCAAAGCCAATAATTTTAATTTCAGGTTTTTAGAAACAAGAACTGAATTTTAAACTTTCATTATTTTAAAAATATTTAAATTTCATTTTTCCTTTGGAATAATTAATCATTATTAAAAAATCGTTTTCTTTATGTATTTATGTATGTTTTTTTTTTTTAAAAAATATTCGTAGTTCCAAAATATTGAAAAATATTATTATTCATCTGACATAAGGACGATCGTAAAATGAAAGATAAAATAAAAACAAGAGAGAACGCTATAGTCGGGTTGGTGTCCCGACTATCTTAATACCCGTCTATTTCTCAGCTAAAGGGAGTGCGAACGCTGTGTCGGGTTTGTGTCCCGACTAATAATCGTAACTCGAGCTAAAGGGAGTGCGAGGGAGATAGATAAAAAATAAAAAAAAAATTATTTTTTTTGATTTGCGTATAACTTTTTTAATGATATGGTCCGATTTGATAAAATGTTCGAATTTTAAAGCATTTCGATAGGTATAAATATACACAACAAAATTGCATTTATACTTATCGGAAATCTTTAAGGATCGTTCTGGGCGCAGGACCCATTTTAAAATCGTTAATGGGCGATTGTGGGCGTTAGAGGGGGCGTAGGCGCTCGGCTAAAATTTTAAACTTGCGCTGTTCGTAGGAAGCCAAAGATATATTGTCGATCCGGTGGTCGAAATCTCAACCTTCTGGAAAGAGCTTTTGTAGTTTCCGAGATCTCAGCGTTCATACAGACAGACAGTTACGGACAGACGGACAGACGGACAGACGGACAGACGGACAGACGGACAGACGGACAGACGGACATGGCTAGATCGACTCGGCTAGTGACCCTGATCAAGAATATATATACTTTATGGGGTCGGAAACGCTTCCTTCTAGCTGTTACATACTTTTGCACGAATCTAGTATACCCTTTTACTCTACGAGTAACGGGTATAATAATGAGAAATGTTAATGAACTTGTGATTTTTTTATATTCCAAAACTTCATATTTAATTTCCCAAAAAAAAAAACAACCTCCTAAATGAAAACAAAAGTCTACTGCTGAATTTTCCCAGTGCATTCGATAACATTCCTGACTGACATTTGCCAATTGATAAATCCAATGTTTGTCCAGCATTTATTAATGTATAAATTATATTGTTTCGCCGAGTAGGGGGTACTTCTTAGCCAGTCAGCTCCCAACTATCTTGGCCCACTGTGCCCCATCAATTTTATGTGCGACAATAATATTTACATAAAAAAGCAAAACATTCGCCAGACCAATTTGTTATTCAAAGTAATAACAAGCGAATGCCCTGCAAAACATCTGCGCAGTAAAAAGGCTATCTTAAGTTGCCAATTATTTTAATTGGTCTCGAGACTAATTGGTAACAAAACAATGGTCTTATGTAAGGGTTTGAGCATCATGTCCCTTAGTTGTCCTAGTCTAAGTTTGTTGTTCTCCTTAGATGATATTTTGTAGCATTTTAGCCCAGAACATCGATAAGAGGCCGAAGCACATGTCTGGCCAAGTGCGACGGAGTTAAATTTATATAAGGTGCGCGATTGGCAAATTACTGGTGGTATTTATAACATTTTAAAGATATGATAGCGCAGGATAGGCCGGCAGCGATTGATTTTACACCCTTAAGGCAAAAACACCGATTTCTGGACAATTAAATCGGGGGATGTTTATCTGTAGGATATCAATTAGCAAGCTATACAGCAAAACGACATCGATATCAAAGTGAATCCAATGGAACGCTTAATCCCAGGAAAACTGCAATATTTACCCACACATTAGCAAAGTAAACAGCGGCAGATTGGTGGAATAAAAGGAGGACTCCACTCCGAAAGCGGAAATGGTGGCGTGAAAGTCGGAAAAGCATTTTACAGCAAAAGCCTTTTAAGGCTGAAGACCAAATCGATACCACAATCGAATGTTTTGCCAGGGAGCATAAATCAAAATCACTGACAATGTCAAGGGGTCTTAACTCCGCCTTTTTTCCAAAGAAACAAAACTTAATTTACGACTTGGCTGCGGGATCATATCATGTTCATATCATATCAAATTATGTCCAGATAGCTCAGACCTCTTGTCCACTTTTCGTATCTCAAAGTTGACTCGGCATTCGACTGGGTCAGCATAATATTTCCAAGTTTCAAGATTGGCAGCATGATTTGATATCTACTTATAAGTGGTAAAAAAATACTTAAATATTAGTTAGTTAGTTAGAAATACTAAAAAGTCAGGGTCGCTAAGCAGTTCATTTTAGAATTACGATTCGAGAAATACTCAACCTGACCTTTAGGCAACCTCCAAACGTTGGGGATTCCCATCCCCTATGACAACTATCATTCACCTCGATACCAGCAAAGTTTGTGGCATTCTTGAGGTAGCCCGATTTATCAATGCCAGTCAGAGTGATTGCGGAAAACACGTTTTATTCGCACTCCCTATCGCAAATCACGTTTTTAAAACGCGAGGCGAAACTTTCCGCTGTTGACCAAAACAATGCCGATCAAGATAATCACCGATTTGGCCAGACCCGATCGCCGATATCGAGAATAACAATAACAAGTTTGGGGGTTTGGATATTATGGTGGCCTTGAGGTGGCGGGTGCCCTGGATGGATTTCCATATCGAGAAAGCCGGCCAAATTCGACTCGCCATGAAACTCTTATCTGGCCAATGCAATTAGAGACCGACTTACATACACTTAGCTCTCGCTTGGTATTTATAGAGGCAATACCAAGAAGTATATGTTCTGGGGCGTATATCTTTCGTACACCTTTCCTTCTCCGCTATCACCCGTTGCCAGAGGCCCCAGACACCCAGAACGGTTCTGCCTCCCCATCTATTGACAATTCAATTAACGTTTTGAAATAATTTCCTGATAAGCGTCGCTGTTTTGGGGCCACGCAACAAGAAAGAAGAAATTAAACAGCGCCCAATAATACCCCAAGAACGGTTAAACTTACTAATAAAACAAGAACCAGAGCTGGGGAAGAATGGGGGTGGTGGAGCCTTGCTATCACAAATTGATCCATAAACGTGGCCCTAGATTTCTTAATAAACCATTGAAGAAATGAGTCTATATGCATATGCAACTGAAGTTAAGAAATTGTAAACATTAACTTGCATAGAATATCAAGGTCTTTGTTAAATCTTAATTTTGTGTTATTAAATCTGAAAACTGCCAAAATCATGGCGGAAATTACAAAAATGTAAGTCATTTGATATGATCATATATTTCTCTTAATGGAAACTTTTACGAAAAACACCGTCGAAAGGAAACCCCGTGTTATCTGCCTTTCATTGATGAACTTCAATGTTTAGAAAACATATTATAAGTCTGGGAAAGACACCAAATTTAGAGTGATAAGATTGCAGAATGTTCTAGGTATATCCCAAAACTAATCAATATATTTGGTAAAATGTCTTGCTTTAAGTTTAGCCACAACGATAAAAATAAACAATAATTTTTTCAGACTATTGCTCGCAAAAATAAAATCGATGTATCTTGATTATAGTTTTTATCAGCTTAAAATAAGTTACCCTTTAATTTGATTTAATTTTACAACATTATAAAACTTGAATTTCATTTCAAAACGTAAATCTTAAACTTCATTTCATCACCGATAGTGGAGTTTTCTTGGATTCCCATCTGGATATCATTGTCTAGTCTCGATGGTAGTGCGAGTCACCTATCCGAACGGCAATTGCCTTACCTGGCGCCAATCAAAATCGACGCTATCAAAAGCCCCATGTTAAGCTACCATAAAAAGTGCCGCTAATTTGGCCCTTGATTGCTCATTTATTTGCTCGGCACACGTTCATTGCCATCGCCGGCGATTCCGCAGTAAATATATATTAACCCCTGGGCAATCCGCTTGCATTAGATATATTAAATTCGGGCCATCCGTCACCTATAAAGAAGGCTCCAATCCTCGGAACATCGGAGTATTTCGAGTGCACTGAGTGAGAAAAGTCAAGGTTCGATTTTATATTATGCTATAAAAGTGTGACTTACTAAGAACTTTATGTCTGAACTACTAAAGTTTTGTGAATTTTAGATTTAATACCTGCTTGGAGTGAGTAGAAAAGTTTTTTATTGTTTGAAAATAAATTTGAGAAGGACGCCCCTCTTTTTACCCATTCTTGTATTAAATCTTAAATCGAAACTCAATGTCAAATATTTAAAAGGCAGTTAGCACAATTTTAATCAGCTCTCTTTCGACCACCTTTACATCCGTCTTAATTGCTAGTGGAATTTTTCGCATGTTGAGTATTGCCAAAAATAATCACACCGGGTCATAATTTGCATACTGGAATTCATGAAGAGGTTCAGGCAGTGGCGGAGGTCTGCGGAATGCCTAGGGCATGAGGAATACCTGAGCGGTACAATAAAAAATACTCGAAGCGTTCAACAATTCAATCAACTCGAAGTCTCCAAGTCTCGCAGTTCCATCCTCGAGCCCACTCATGCCAAAATAATTTTGTTGTTCATTTAGAACAAATAAGCAAATACTTGCTGTAAATACTGGTGGGTTCATGAAAAATCGCGGCAAACGGAACTTGGCGAAGACGTCGCCCAGTTTGCTTCACGCCCCTGGAATGCCAGGTATTCCAGTTATTTATTTCGGCACATTAACAACCAGCCAGACACGGGGACATCCGACATCCCGCCGACTTCTCGGCCCCCGAGCCATACTTCAAATTGATTGCCAAATAAATTAAAAGTGTAAAGAAAACAACAACCACAAATAGCTGGAGAAAACGTGTAAGAAACGGAGAACAGTATAATTTAATTAGCGCTCGTTCGCTGGCATTTCTATAAGTATTCACTCAATATTTCCATTGTAGTTGGTCGTATATTGTTATTATTATTTTTTTTGGCAAATATTTGCCCAATCGCAGCTGATAACGGCAGTCGATCGATGTTGGGTCGTGATTTGCAGGGAAATTCCCTTTGATAAAATAATTGGCATAGTTTCGGAACCGATGTCTCTTTCCCTCTCCCTTTCAAAATGGGCTTGGCCTGGCTTTGGCCAAGTTTGTTGCTCTCTGGCATGACGAGGATGATGATATAACTTGATACAACATTTGATAGTATTATCGAATATTTGCACACGCGTCAATAGTCGCCCTGAAGGGCACTTCATGACAATATTTGAGTTCCGCTCGCGTTGTAAATATCTAAATATGTTTATCAAAACTGTTGCATTGAAACGCCTGGAGAGTGTGATGAACTGGACAGCCTTTCAAGGATTCTGGGTGACTATGTTGCGATTGTTTCATCGAACGGAAACGCATCACCCTTAAAGTATTCAAGCGGGTTTCACTTACCATCAGGAGGTAAATAATCTTGGCATAGACCGTAAGCTGTGGTAACCTGAAAGTAAATAAGTGTGCTTAAAAACAAATACGATTTCATATAATAAATATTTTGTAAACTTAGAGGTATTATTTGGTAGCTTAAAAAATACAACTATCTTATATTTAGATTTTGCAATCACCGCTTGTGAATCACATTGTTAGATTTATCATCTACTAAAACCTTTTTTTAACAATTCCAAAATTCCCCATCTTAAATAAAGGAAGATAAATCTTTTTAAAGATTTATGTAGCACTTAAACTCGAACTTGTCTTTCAACTGTGTGCAAGATAAATTAAAGGATTTATAAAGCTACAGCTCAGATTTAGGAATGCAGATGCATTAAGATTTATTTACAGCTTCTAAGCTAAATTATTTTTTTTCAAATTATACTCTGGGTAAAACCTAAATGTATTTTCCCCCAAAAGTTTTCTATGCTGTCTCGCCTTATAATTGAAACCACAAACCAGAACACCCACAGCACACTCAATTATGCAAAACAATATTATGTAGAGCACTGCGAGCACGTGAGGCTGCAGATAAATGCATAAGGTATAACTGCATAAATCATCTAGATTGAGCGACTTTTTGACAACGCAAATGAGCAAGGACAGTTGCAGGAGCAGCACCATAAATTCACTTGAATTTATTATGCAATTAGTTAAAGACCTGCATTGTCAGATGGCAAATGTCCCAGCTGAAAGTGGAGCAAAAGCGAAATGAGGCCTGTCGGGGCAGGGAGGCTGCAAGGGATTTTCGGCCGAGGAAAAACCTTGAGTACGACTTTTTCACATAAATTTCGCTGAGCAATCCCTGTAGTTTTCTCAGACTTTTATCAGCTTGAACTTGGCCAACCAACACTCACAAGAGTCCGCGCTCAGCCTTGAAAAGTTGAAACTCGTTAGCCCCACCCGTGACCCACTTGAGCATCTTGAATTCGCAATTCGCCTTTCGCATTTTCCATTTCCATTTAATAGAACTTTATATCCAATACGAAAGTGGCCACAGGACGGCGTTGCCTGCCCTTGGGCTTTCCGTAGTAGTTTGTGTCGTGGAGGCGGTAGGATCCCGCTGGCAAATATCCCGGAATGCTGTGGTTCTCCAGCTGAAAGTTGCGGACATCGTAGAAGGCCTGCGGGGAGAAACTTTGACCCAGGCATTCGAATAATTCGAGTTGCAGTACGCACTGGCTTAATGGGACAGCGGTCGGCCAGATTCCCGTACTTGAACACGTTCCTCAGCCAGACCTTCATCAGACTGGCCTGCAGAAGTTCCCGCAGCGTCTTGCAGGTGTCCATGTCGTAGCTGAACAGTGTCTGATACCGACTTTGGCCATCCATCAGCTGCAGCAGGTTAATTGTAGTCCTCAGTCCGTTACGCAGGGTGCGATTCAGGTGGATATCCAGGTTCAGCTCACCTTTGGCGGTCAACCAACCCCTCATACTAGAACAGAATTCATAGCTGCACTCCGCACTGACGTTGGTAAACTTGCTTCGCAGAGCTTTTTTTTGTAAATTAGCAAAAGTATCCATTACTCATTAAGAACCCAAAATAGCACTACTCACCAAAGGATTTACAAAAAAACAATATCATCATGAGCCATAACAACATTTCCAAGTAGTGTCTTGGAGATCTCCCCAATGACTAAATTACATTGTATTTGCTTTCGAATCATATTTAAAATATTTAGGGCAGTCGTTAGTCAGGCTTGACCGATTGACTAATGGGCAAATTTTACTCTCAAATTTGTTAAAAAAAAACTAGAACAGCTAAAATTAATGTTCCAAACAAAATATTACAATAAAAGCAAATTCATTTTTGAAATTATTAAAGCTTGAGAATGTTTATTTTTACAATGTTGGATTTGAAAATTATTTAATAAAAAAATAATAAAACAAAAACACATTTAGTAATATAATATAGACAAAATATAAAATATTAAATGTATTAAAAATTATGTAAGTCGTATAGTCATTTTCAAAACATTTTTTAACAAAAAGTCATATAATAGGTATTTACTTCTAACCCAATCACCACATTAATAAACCCCTAACAGTTATCAGACACCGCTTAACGCCGATTAAAGCCCCGACACTCCAGATCGGTGGAAAATCTAATTCAGCCCCCCACGATGGCCCATAAATCAATCGGCAGTCCATCAATCAATCAATCAGCGGGCCATCAATTAGTCAGTCTGTCACTCCGTATCGCACTTTGTCCGAATCGCAGAGCTCCGATCTGAATGTGGATCTGAATCTGGATCTGATCTGATCTTGGGGACGGGGCTCCAGGCCCGAGCTGTCTGCCACATAAAGATTCAAGTTCAGTGCGACCGGCTCACGAACTAACCGTAAAGCAAACTGAAAGTCGCGCTGACGTTTGGCTGTTTGGGTTGTTTTGCGTTGTTCGGTTGTTCGGCCGCGTTGTTTGGCTAAGCGGCGTTTAATTGGAAACACAGTTGGGTGTTGGTTTTGACCGGTCCGCTGTCTTCATCGCGGGCCATCAACTTTCAGCAGCTGCGGACAGCTGATGGACGTGGACATTTGGATTCGTTCTCAGGCCGACTCCTGCGACTACCAGATAAACCCGTTCAAAAGTCGACCAGGCTCGCCGAATCAGATGCAAATATTACGCATACGTCGTGTGGTCCGTGTGGCGTTTTTGGCCACGGGGAAATGTTTGCCATTTGTCTCACTCCCCCGACTGCACTGCCAGAAATAGTAGTTCAAATGTAAAAATTGCTTACGGATTTTTGATTAATTCAATGAAATCTAAAATTTATAGGATACTTTTTTCTGATCCTTTATACAGAGAAAAACTCCAGAATGAATTTTTTTTCTCTGCACCACCTCTTCCCCTGCCCCTCCCCCATGACTCCTCGCCTAATTGCTGAGCCGCGTGGAGCGTTTAATTGCAAATTATTCAAATGCCGACGCTGCCGCAGCTGTCATTGCTGTCATAACCAGTCGGCGCAGCTGTCCCCTCCGCCCCACTGTACCGCCACCCCCTGGCCACCCCAGCGCCCCACTCATCCTGGCGAGCTTGCAATTATGTCTCAAATTAACACAGCAGCCACCACAGAGCGCCCCTCCATTCCCGCAGCTGCCGCTAAAAAAAATAACGCCAAGAAAATGTGTAAAAATATTCCCCAACTTTTCGCTGCTGTTGTTGTCAGATGAAATTAGGCGTGAAATGTAGTTTGAACCTTTGTGGAAATATTTTTTAACAACATTCACAAGTGTTCGCTCTTCTGTGTATATAATTCGACCACGTGGGTCGCTTTTGGAAGTGCTGTTCCCATATGTTGCTACCTTAATTGTTGCCAGGTCCACTCCGACTATATCAATATCAATATTTATATTCCAGAGCTGATAAAAGCATTTGCCGATCGCCCTCGGCAATCTTTATCTGTTTAGTACTGACCACAGTCGGAAAACATGCTATTATGAACTATAAGGCAAATGCAATTTCGATAAACTTTACGGCCTAGCACAGTGGGAAAAATTAGGTACAGGAAATGGTAAAAAAAGGCTTCCGATAAGGTGATCAAAAACCCATTAGGGAGTGCCCCACAAGAACAAAACTCTTGAACTATTTTGTTCCACATAATATCTGAAATTAATATTTAAGATGCCTTAAACAGTAATAAGCCTTTTTACTTGTCCTTAAACCCATTTTGTATCTACTTATTTCTTAATACATAGGGTATTAAAAATCATTAGCGAACTAATTAATTTATTTTAATATGCAATTCTGATCAACTTTAAGGCGTAGCTCATAGGGATAAATTGGGTACATGAAATAAGGAAAAAAAGGTTTCTGATAAGGTGTTTAAAAACTCATTAGTAAAAATCTCACAAGAACAAAACTGGTGAACAAATTTGTCTCACATAATAAGTGACTAAATCAGAAAACCCCTAACTAGTAATAAGCCTTTTGTACTTGTCCTTAGAGACAAAACATTTATTTTAGTATTTATAAGGTAAAATTTGTTTGTAAGTCCTAGAACACAAATATTCTTATGTTAAGATTCAAGATTAACTAGAAATTCCATTCCTAAAAAAATGTTTGTGAAAATGCCTTTAATGCTAGAAAATAAATAATCTAATGTTAAGATTCAAGATATACTAGAAATTCCATTCTAGAAAAAATGTCTGTAAAGTTGTTGTGCGGTCGTGTAGACTTCTAAATTAAAGAGTGTAAGAAATGAGTTGTGTACTTGTGAAATTGGCAACATTTCATTCATTTTATCTGGGATGTTAAAATATTTATTTTTTGCGATTTATTGGTAATAGGGTTTTGAGCTTTATTCCACAGTGGGCCAGCAACATTCGCAAGCAACATCGGTGGGCAACATTGCAGCTGCAGGTTGCTGTTGTTTTTGCTGCTGCTGCTGCTGGTTGGCAGCGTCTCAGGTTGCATTTATATGCAAATAGCTAAAATTGTTTTCAATTTGCCACCGCCAAGCGCCTTGGCCATCGACAACGCATTCCTTTGGCCAACTTGCAGCTAATTTTATGGCTAATTGTCTGCCTGCCCGCCTCTCGGGTTGCAGTTGCCGCTGTGGCAGTTGCTGCTGTTGGCCGCATTGATTGCTGATGAAGTTGTGATATTTGCGATAAAAAGTGTATGTGATAAAAATTACTGAGAGGCCGGCGAACGCAGGCAGGAATTTCTTAATTGTCAGAACGGCCTGCTGGTGGCTGAATTAATTGTAATTGTGGAAAACTCTACGCACAAGGACACCGGGCAGCAAAAGTAAAAAGCAGAAACACTATCAACGGGAGCAACACTTAAGAGGCGCGACATTAGCGGCAAATGTCAAACGCGCTGAAAGCTTTTAATTAACTTTATGTCAGGGTGTGGTTTTCCAGTGAAAGATAATCGCGAACTGGTTTAGCCCAGAATCAAAATAGATGGCGAAGGAAGAATAGGTTGGAAATGATGTGTTTGCTTTTAACACGATTTTTAGGTAAGTCAATAATCTTTATTCTAAAAATAGATATTATGGTAAAGTG